TGATACCAATAACTCTTTATGCCCATCTGGCGTCGGTGATCTAGTGGTTGCACTATCGGATCCGTGAGTAGTCGTGAGATTGTGGGTTCGCGGGGGGGGGGGGGGTGTCGAGCCTCAGTTCGGTCCGACACTGTGTCATTGGGAAAGGCACTTTACACAGATTACCCATTTGGCTCTGTCCTTTCGGAGACGGACGTTAAAGTCGGCGACCCCGTCTCTTAACCTAATACATGTAGTGTTGACAGGGGCATTAAACCTATACCATTTCACCATAATTTAATCATATGCCTCAAAATACATGAGCACTGATTCCACCATGTCGTGACGCAAATGTTGTTTCGTTTCCTAGTCTTGGGTATTATACATCAAGTCTATGAATCCAGATATCAGGAAGTTGTTTACAATGTATTTTGCTACAAGTCTACGAGTCCAGGTATCAGGAAAATAATAAACGTTGTTTGTTCCTCCAGTGGTTCCCGCAGCGCAAAGGACTGGTGAACGGGCTGGTGGTGGCGGGGTTTGGTGGCGGGGCGTTTATCTTTGACCAGGTCCAAACGGCCTTCATCAATCCGGACAATCTCAAGCCGCTCAAGGAAGTGGGCGGAGATAAGTGAGTGGTAATCTGGGACCTTTGATTTCTCGAAATATTCAAATATTGCACCTTTCGAGATTTTAAAATATCAGAAAATTGCTAGTTGAATGCTTTAGAGTGCAATGTGGTTTCTCAGTAGACTGCTAGTAATATCTTGGAGAGAAAATATATCAAACCTAGGCACTTCAATGAACGCGCTCACTATGGCGTCATTTGGCTTCGGAAAGTCCCATAGGGTTTTGTTTCCGGACATGACATCTCATCGCGACAGTGGGTTCAAACTGCCCATCTTTTTGTTTAATTTAGGGGACCAACATTCAAGTCCGATACATGTCTTTAAAGACCTGTGGATGGCCTTCAAAACGCTTCTTTCCAGGTCGATGTGCGACTAATGAGTCTCGAAATATTTCAAGTTGAAAAATAGACAATTTTTAACCATTGATTTTTTATAAATTTTCTCGTCATATTTTTTTCAAACTACCCTTGTTGGTAAGCCATTCTTTGTTCTTCCAGAAAACGTTAAAATGGTTATCGTAGAAGTCTTACCTTGGCTAGTGTAGTCTTACCCTTTTATCAAACAAATCCGCGAAAACCTAGCTGAACCCTTCCACCGTGACATCGCGCAGAGTCGTGACGTCACGCATTTTCGCCTTGAGCTTTTGGCTCCCTCTCTTCATTGTTTGAAATGTACGAGACAGGGAAATACATCGCCAAGAGATTTTTAAACTTAAGTTCAAAAAGTTAATCAATTTTGGTTATGTTTTATAATCACTGACCTCACAATGTGCCTTAGTTCATTCGATAGTATAAAGAAAACGAGACTTTTTAGACCCAAGTATTTCCTTTTCACTGAGCTCCCCTCTCCCTCCTTTTTTCCCCTGCCCAAAGCCTTTCATTGCGTAGGCCTAGGGCCTAGATCTAGTATGAAGAGTCCGGACTCGTGTTGTTAACACAGTGACAAATAAAATTGGGACGCCTATTAAGGGGATCCACTGGTCAGATCAGTAAAAATTTTGAAAAAATATCAGTTTTCGAATTTTGGAGTATCTTAATAGATATCAATATCAAGGATTCATCTTTAGAAGCCTAATTCCTTATCAAACTTAGAAATAGCTGGAAATGCATTTAAGAGAGGTAGCAATGTAGGAAAATCTTCACCAAAAATTATCTCTCTTTGCAGTTTTCTCAGAATTGTTTATCTGACCAGGTTGCAACACTATTTTGAGTAGATCTCAGAAAGTTACTGTCAGAAGTGTTTCACATTTGGACACAATCTTTTATACACATTTCTCTATAACTTTACAGCAGCATTTTTGCTGTTTATGGAACACATTTGAGTTTTAGGCCTTTTTTATTAAAAAAAATCTTAAAACATTGGAGACCTGAATGTAGTGCATAACAAGGACTGTAAAGCTCACAAGTTAGTACAGAAAATTCAAATTTGGCTCTGTAAGGTTGTTCTACCTACCAACAGTAATCGCCATGCCAAATATTAGGCTTCTATCTTGATGAGTGTTGATGATTGACAAAATATAATATTGGTTTTAAAAATGCTGAATCAATCCTTTATTTTTGATGGCTCGAGATTGTTATGGCTAAAATCTTGAATTTTTTGCTTGGTAACCTTTTTTTGTACTATGTCACCCCCTTTGATGCAGAAAAGCAAGCGTTAGACCAAAAACTATAGCATTTGGGTGTTGACCATAGCTACACCCCCTTAAAGTATCTGATGCAATTATTTGCTTGATAAGGTTTCTTAGGTTTATTGTTAGTACCGATCCAGATTTTCTTTCTTTTCTGTCTCTCTCTCGCTCGCTCTTTCTCTCTCTCTCTCTCTCTCTCTCTCTCTCTCTCTCTCTCTCTCTCTCTCTCTCTCTGGGTGTGTGTGTATGTGTGTGTGTGTGTGTGTGTGTGTGTGTGTGTGTGTGTGTGTGTGTGTGTGTGTGTGTGTGGTTTCGTGCGTTCCCACTCCCCTCTTATTTTCATAACCGTACCTCTCTTTTCTTCTCCATCCCACTTTACCTGCTCTTCGACTATACATTTTCTCTATTACATATCCTTCTTGTCTTATTTGTCTTATAATCGCCACCGCCGCCATCCTTCCACGACTCACGGTATTAGCAGTGTAAGCCTATTACTCTTTTCCACTGATGAAACAACCCTGAAGGAAGATGCCAGTTGCAACAAAGTGAGCACTTTTGCTCCTCAGTTCTTATTTTATTTTACTTTTTCCTTCCTCTGGTATCCTTAGGATGTCGAGGGGAGGTGCAGGTTTCGGCGTCTGTGATAGATATGCTAATTAGTTATATTGTTCCAGGGCCTTTTTAACCCCATCCAGTCAGGTCTTTCTTGGTCTTCCTCTTGATTTAAAGCCGGATTAGCGGGTGTGGTTAGCTCTAGCCGCTAGTTGTTTCTGGGGCATTCTGGTTAGATGTCCGAACCATTTGACTCTTTGACGCTGTAATAAATTTACTACTGGTAGACGTACGGTCTCGTTCCTTATGCGGTCTCCTCTGGTGACGTTTGTGGTTTTTGCAGAAATATCTAATTTCGCGTGCATTGATTTTCCTTTCTCATGCCTTGTTTAGAGACCATGTTTGGCACTGGTATGTTAATGTTGGTATGAAGATTCTATTGATGAGCTGGGGATGTCACTTCAGTTGAGATGTTCTTGTGACTGAGAAGGGGTGCTAGCTGGTAGGTCAATGCATTTGCCTTCATGGTTTTTTTTCTTTGTCCATACGCCCATCTAGTGAGAAGATGCTTCCCAAATATTTAAATTCCTTTACTTGTTGGAGTTGTGTTCCGTCAACAAGGATGTTGAGTTTTCCTGGGTTTTTTCTTGCCTTCATAACTTCTGTTTTTGAAATTAAGATTTTCATGTTTAGGTGTTTACATTCCCCATTAATTAATTTTGTGGTGTGTTTTTTGTGATTCCTCTTCATCTGTATTTAATGTACTCTGGTCATCAGCAAATACAAGCTCGCTCAGTTCATTGATGTTGTCATTTGCTGCTTTCGTGATCTTATCCATGTAAGTGATGAAGAGAAGCGAAGAGAGAACACCCCAGACGTGATGGGGAAACAGTCCGATAGTCCTTCTGTTGACCTTTTGGCACACAGGCTGTTTTTATAAAGTGCCATGATGTTCTTGAGCAATTGTCCTTTAACACCATATTACTCTAAGGCTACCCCCCCGGGGCGATGCCACTGACTGAAGTGTCTTTATGCCATTCCAAATCAGGGGACGTTCTAATGCACAGTAGAATCGTAAATGGGCTGATCGAACAATGGCATGCTCATAACTATGCCTGAACTACAACAGGGAATTGCGCCTTTTTCTTTCTTAATCGTTACTATCGTCATTTTCCTTTTGTATGTTTGTCACACTCTTGCGACCCGCTGTTTCCGGGATGCCTTGATAGTCTAAGAAGACTTTGTGCTGTAGAAGCTAGAAAGGTGAGCAGAGTAAGTTTGATTCCCTGTAAGGACTTCTCTGTTGACATCCACCCCTTGGCGCTCATGTGACCTTATGCAGTTGCCGGTGCCGTAAAACCGCTACTAAAACCTCTAAGACTTCCCAAAGTTGACATCTATTTACCCTGTCGAACGCCTTTTCTTGTTCCACGAAGACGACAATCTTGTCATGCCCAATGGCAGTCTCACACAACTGTCCGAATGCAAAAAACCGTCAGTACAGCCCTTGCCTTTTCTGAAGCCAAACTGGGATTCATTGAGTTGAGTTGGTCTCAATTGGTCTCATTCTCATTTCCAGTATCTTGGCAAACGTTATATCCACACGGCTTAGAAGGGATATTCCTCTGTAGGCTCTGTGTTGTTTTTGTTGCCCAGGCCAGGTTAAATATCCTCCATAGCCAGAGTTCTCCGATATGGCCGTATAGTTTGATCTCTTCTGCTGTGTTGTTTTCAACGCCTATCGCTTTGTTTGTGGGGCTATTCTTTATAACATGTTGGGTTTCACTCTGCAGTAGTGATGGTTCTGGAGTGGTTTCTTTCGGTGAGAAGCTGTTTGCTGTTGTTTCTGTTGTAGGATTCAGCAGCTCCGCGTTTCTATCTTTCCTTAATCTTTGGCTTTCTGAAAATAGGGTTTTCTGTGCTCATCATTGACTATTTCAGTTTGGTTGAATGGTTCTTCCCGCATCCTCATGCTTTTTTTAACTCTCTAGTAAAACTCTCAAGGGTTTTCTTTACATTTTGTTACCAGCTGTTCTCCATATACTGACCAGGATCTGTTCTTAGCTTCTTTTACTACCCTTGATGTATAGCGGCGGTCCTTTCTGTATAGGATGTAATCTTCCTCCGTCTTTGATTTCTACCACTTTTTGAATGCCTTTTTCTTCAGTTGGACGGCTTCCTTCACTTGGTCATTCCACCATATAGTTGTTTTCTTTTTCTGCCCTCTTGTTTTCCTGGTGATGCACTCTTCTTTTAATGCTCTGTACACACATGCTTTGAAGTGGCTCCGTTCCTCTTTCATGTCTCCCAATTTTGGGGGAAATTTGTGAAATACATCTTTCAAACGTTCATGTATCTTATCCTTGTTATTGTCATTTATATTTCTGAGATTTACGACTTCTCATCGTTTCTTTGCTTCTGGCTTCCTGTTTGGTGTGTTAATAGTCTTGATGACTGGTCTGTGGTCAGTGTCTGTGATGTAGATGGGAATCACTCTTCAGTCTATGATTTTTCTCAGTTTCGATCTTTTGGCTAGGATAAAATCAATTTGTAATGCTATCTTTAGATGATTGCATTTGTACCAAGTTTTAACTTGACTCCTTTTGTGTTGGAAGAAGGTATTTGATATAACGAGGTCATGTTCTGCATACAACTGTAATAGCATTTCTCCATTGCTGTTTTAATCTGTTTCCCTGTCACTGAGTGGCCGCATGTATCTCTCCCACGTCGTCTTCCTTGTTTCCACTCTGCTGTTAAAGTCCCCCATCATTGTCACATTATCTTTGTCATCCACGGTGTTTGTAAGGTCACTCAGTTAATCATGTAACTGGTGTCGCTGTTCTTCGGGATATGAGTATATATATATACTCAGTAATTGTCATATTATTCTATGGTGATTTCCCGCTTTATACCATACTCGTTGAATTTGCTTTCATATTCTTCAAGTCTGTGTTATGCTTGGGTTTAAGGGCACTTGCAACACAAATAGGTCATATAAGCCCCGAAGATTAGAGGTGTTACAAGAGAGTAACATACACAGAAAAGAACGAGGAGAGGTAAGGACGGTTGATTGTTAATAGGGAAAAAAGGAACAAACCACACCCCAGAGCACCCGCCAACCCCCTGCTTGAGTTATGCATGTAAGATTGAAACTGCTTTCAATTTTAATCATTTTCCCCAAGTAGCAAGTTACAGAACTCTTTAAAACAAAATGCGTGATGTTTTTCTTTTGAAAATCGGACCATTATTATGGAAAGTGTGCCCGTTTCTTTTTTGTGACAATAGGCATTGGACTCACGACGTCACGATTATGACGTAATTAAACGGTAAATAGAATTTTACTCTTAATGTACTTGACTTTTATTTTCATATATTGATTCTACATAAAACAGCAAACAAAATGATACCTCAATGGTCATGATACAACTATTATTAAGGATTTTATGACGTTGTGAAGCAAAATTTCGAGTTTTGGTGGCACAAAATGCAGTGCAAAAATTTGGCCAAATCAGGGCGAAAATTGATTCACAAAAACGGTCGCTGCTTCTAAACTAACAAAGATAGCACAAAAATTTTAAAAGCTCTGAAAACAGAAAGCCAAGCTCTTTTCAATAATCTAAATTTTAGTGCCCTCGGAGAAGTTTGAAAATTTCACTGAAGTGCCTAAGAGATAGTTCTTGAAGAAGCCCATATGGGCCGCTCGATGATAAAAGCAATGATGAAAAATCAGATGCAGTTTCTGGGTCACTTAAATAGATAGAAAGGAAAAGGCCTTGAACATCTAGCTCTCACTTGCAAAACTGAAGGCAAAAGAGGCAGGGGTAGACTTAGAGCCACTTACTTGGAGAGCTTAAACAGATGAGTGACGGAGAAAGATCAGGATAATGAAAGCATCCGAGCAAAGGAATGAATGGTCTCCGATGTCTGTCGCAATTCTATCACTTGATGATGATGTTAAGAGAACACAACACAAAAGAAAATATGAGGACAGTTATTCAAAGTTAAGTTGGACCACAAGAACCACAATTTGATACTGTCAAAGCAGAAAACTGCCCTGGTTCAAAGACATCGCTCGGCATGAAAGCCTTGCACCGTCACAAAGCTCACTGTTGGGCGCCGAAAGAAAAACAAAAACTGACAACATCAGAGAATGGACAGGTCAGTTGGCAAAAAATCTCCTCGACGGGACCATAGACATGGACATTTACAAAAGTCTAGACATATTCGGCACTTGGTCCCCCTGATGACACAAAGTCAAGAGGCGAGTGAGTGAGTGAGTGAGTGAGTGAGTGAGTGAGTGAGTGAGTGAGTGAGTGAGTGTCAAGAATTAAAAAACAACAACATAGCAAAACGAAGCAAAACAAACAATACCCCGCACCCACGCTCACATATTCATACATAGTACACGTACATACGCACACACGTACGATTTTACACAAAGACACACACACACACACACACACACACACACACACACACACACACACACACACACACACACACACACACACACACACACACATACTCACTCATACACACGCACACACTCAAATACGCACACATGTCAACAAACACACTTATACGTATAATGTATAACAATCATTATTTATTTGTATTTTGTAAGACTCTTACTCTAAAACATCAGACCCTGTTTTGTCGTGTGTGTCCAGATATTTCGACCAGTCGGACCAGGCGTCCGTCCTTGACCGTGTCCCCACTGTATAGACATAACATGTATAAACAAGTATAAATCAACATATTATAATGTAGTGTGGTGTGTCCAGACATTTCGACCAGGCGTCCGTCCTTGACCGTGTCCCCACTGTGTTCCTGATCCTGGGAGGATGTTACTCCGGCATGCAGCTTCTGGCCGCTCCACTCATGTGTAACCCGCCGGGCTACTCCTCTACCCAGCCACAGGTAGATAGATAGACAGATAGATAGATGGATGGATGAATAGATGGATGGATGGATGGATGGATGGATGGATGGATGGATGGATGGATAGATCGATAGATGGATAGATCGATAGATGGATAGATAGATAGATAGATAGATAGATAGATAGATAGACAGATAGATAGACAGACAGACAGACAGACAGACAGACAGACAGACAGACAGACAGACAGATAGATAGATAGATAGATAGATAGATAGATAGATAGATAGATAGATAGATAGGTAGATAGGTAGATGGATGGATGAATGGATGTACGAATAGATGGATGGATGGATGGATGGATGGATGGATGGATGGATGGATGGATGGATAGATCGATAGATGGATAGATAGATAGATAGATAGATAGAATGGATGGGTGGATGGAGGGATGGATAGATAGACAGATAAAAATAATGGATTGCTTCTACTCGTAAGAAACCGATGATGATGAGGATGATGATGATGATGGCGGCGGTGGTGGTGGTGATTTTCTTTCACAGCCTGAAAAGAAAGAACCAGTGAATGTGAGTATGTCTTCTGTTACTTTAATTTCCCGTCGAATTCACCGTGTCCACTTTTCGGGTTTTTTTCTTCCTGTTTTGTTTGTGCTGATTTTTTGCTATGCAACGTCGGTGGCCTAGTGGTTAGACTACCAGACTCATAATTGTGAGATTGCAGGATCAAGGGTTCGAGCCTCAGCTCGGCCTGACGTTGTGTCCTTGGGAAAGGCACTTTACCCGAATTCCCTATGTGGCTTGGTTCTTTCGGAGGTCCCGCCGCTTAAGTAACCAAATAGTGGTGAATGTTTCGATACCATTAAACATTTTTATCCTGGAGCTGACAACAATGATAGTAGTGGGTGGTTGGCAGGTGCGCTGGTACGGTTAGCTGCTTCCGTCCTATCAATTAATACATTTTCGGCGACTTTTTAATCGCTGTATAATCAGGTTAAGGCATATCTGCTTCTGGCAATGAGAGGCTAGATGAAGACTGCCAAATGAGAAACCAAATTGATGATACATGTCTTGTAGTAATGTCACTCCTGTTTCTTTGCCTTCTGTTTGTGTGATCACATGTCCATTTAAATACACTGTTTACCAATCTTTGGACACTTCGCTACTCTAGAATAACACTGGTTTATCTGCTCAGTAGCAAGTTTTGAGAAATTTGACTTTTAAAAATTTGAGTTTCACAGTATGTCACGTTTTTCCGAAATGCAATTCTTTGAATATCTTACAATTTTGATAGAGCAGATACAATTGGCTTCATGATCTGAGTAACTCAAAAGGGCTAAAAATGTCAGATAGAACTTTGTAATTTTAAGGCAGCGAATTATTCTCACGGCAGATTTAAAGGTTATCATTACGTCTTATTCAAAGTGGGAATAAATATTTAATTAGATATTTTCTTGAATATTTTGGCCGGTGAACATACTTAATATGAATTCAGGATTGTTTTCATTTACAACTCACTCAGTGACCCGGCCTCGAATAAATAGTTTTGTTAATCATGTTCCTATTCTTTTTAAAAATTTTGAATACATGTTTTCTTTTATATCCCCATGGTCACAATTTATATCATTTAGAAGGCGGGCTTGCGATCCTGTTTCCAGAGCCAAACCTGGCTGAGAGGGATACATCCCAGCAGAAAGATTTTTTTTTTTTAATCTGAATTTCAAATAACGACTAGCAACAATATGGATATACATGTATATTCACTGTTCCAACAGAGAGTCCAATCGGAAATTGGCATAAGATTGGAGCTACTTTGAGTCAATGATGACGTTACAGACACACTACGTCTGATCATCAGCAGACCTAAGACCATCATTCTGCTCACTTTAAACCTTCGTATTATACAACGCTACCTTCTAATTACAAAGTTCTATCTGACATATTTGGCCGGTTTGAGTTACTAAGACCTTGAGGTCGGAAACCAAATATTCTACCTTCTCTATCAAAATCGTAAGATTATTTGGAGTCGTTATCAGGATATTTTATGAAAAATTGCATTAAAAAAAGCTGGACCTGTAATGAGACTCAAAATTATTTTTAGTGTCAAATTTTTCAAAACTAGGCACCGATCAGATAGAAACAAAAATTGACTTACAAGTTTTACCTTATAGTCTCCTTTTTCTCGTTCTTCCCCATTTGAAATCATATCGCCCTCATCTCTCCGCTGATGTTTAGAGGGCGCCACTGGTAGGTCTTACTTGTTTACTTTCTGTCTGTCTGTCTGTCTGTCTGTCTGTCTGTCTGTCTGTCTGTCTGTCTGTCTGTCTGTCTGTCTGTCTGTCTGCGTGGATGGTTGGAGGGCATCACAGGTATGACCTTATTTTTTACTTTCCTTTTCTTGTTTCTGTCTGTTTGTCTTACTTTTTTCGATCACTATACCATAGTATCGATGTGTTTCCCTTTATTCAAACAAACAAATCTTATCGGTCTCCCGTCTTTTCTTTGTATGCTACTTTCTAGTAACCCCTCTAATCTTCGGCTTTTTAGATCACCTGTACCTATTTGTGTTGCAAGTGCTCTAAAACTCTTGCTAAATCGAAACTAATAAAGTGTACCCAATCCAATTCCCCCTTCTGTTCTGCGCCTGTTGATGACGTCAGCAAGGGGGCGGGGCCACCAGACGTGACGATGACCTTCACCCCCCATCGCCGTTGCTTGACCAGCCGAACAAAGATGGGCGTGAAGGCTCCTCTTCCTCCGTGCCTGCTACAACAGCTGATAAGGCGGACGAACAGTGAGTGAGCCTGAGCCATAGAGAGGACTAACACCCGGGGCACATCGACAATTCGGCCAAATTCGATTGCAACCTACAAGTACAATCATCATCATCATCATCATCATCATCATCATCATCATCATCATCATCATCATCGTTGTAAACAGGATACTGAAAAAGGCAAACAATATGTGGAGACTTGGGTACATGTATTTTTTTTTTATTAATGGCGCCACCACCATCACCATCATCTCGCATGCTGTGTTCTAACTCTCATCATTACTGGCAGTGTATAATAAAGACATGATCATTGTGCTGTTCTCAATAAATAGCTCGTCCGTCAATGTCTGACGATGACTAATACATCAGTAGAGGAGAATATTTCTCCTTCAAAACAGAAGATTTCGAAAAATTAGTCTAATGGTAAAGATGGGTTATGGCTTCAGCGATGGATTATAAGAAAAATTCTGGCATTGAAATGTTTGCCACATACTGAACATTTAAAAGCTCCAGTTGCATTTGTGGATGTGTGCAGCTTGCGGGCTTCCCTCTTCATCATTGCCTTTCTCACCCTGAGGGTATAGGTCACAGACAAACACTTTCCACCTTTCTCTATCCTGGGCTAGCCTCTTGATGTTATTCCATGTCTTCCCACTTTTCTGTTGATCAATTTCTGTGATTCTTCCTTAGGTTCCACGAGGTCTTCTCCATTATCCTTTATCCTGTAGATCCTATCCAAAACTTATCTTTGCTATGCAGCTGCCTGAATTCTTGAGATTAGTCCAATCCAGCGCTTCCGCCTGCTTCCCACCTGATCTCTGACCGGGATCTGTTTTGTTTTCCTTAACACTTCCTCGTTGGTGACCCTGTCTGTCCATCTGATCATCAGTAACTATCTCCTAGACACTTGTTCAAGAAAACGAGGATCCTCTTTGTGATACGTTCCATGTCTCAAATCCATTCAACAGGACTGACTTCACATTCGAATTGAGAATCTTCAGCTTTGTTCGAAGTGAGATATCTCTGGTCTTCCAAATCCCATTCAAAGATATGAAATCAGCCCCCCGCTTTTCCTGTGCGACATTTTATTTCAGCACTTGTTCAGCACCTTTTCCTCCCTCTCTGTCAATTATACTCCCAAGATAGCAGAAGGATTCAACGTCTTCTAGTGCATCTCCTTCTAGTGTGACTTAATCCTTTTGTTGTGCATCTGTCCTTAAGACCTTTAACTTTCCAGGGTGGACCCTCAATCCAACAGACTCTGATGGGCTGTTTAATACAGAGGTCTTTGCTTGCATCTGTTCCTGGGTGTGCGACAGGAGCGCAAAGGCGCCAAGTCGTCCGCAAACTCCAGATCGTCCAGCTGTTTCCATGGAGTCCACTATATGACATTTCTGTGCCCTCTGGTGGTTTTCTTTATTAGCCAATCGACTGCTAATATGAAGAGGAAAGGTGTACACCCCTGTCTCTCAACAGTCATGATGTCAAAGCTGTCAGTGAGCTGGCCATCATGTACAACTTTGCAACTTGTTCCTTCGTAAATGCTCTTGATGAGGTTCGCCAACTTCCGTGGGATTCCGTGAAGTCTCATTATCTCCCATAGTGTTGTTCCGTCTATACTGTCAAAGGTCTTCTCATAGTCAAGGAAGTTGACGATCGGCCAGGATCCATGGACTTTTCCTCAATGGTCCTCAGCGTGGCAATCTGGTCGGTTATTGAGCGATTTTTCCGGAAACCAGCCTGTTCATCCCGTAGTCTTGAATCCGTTGCAGTCTTGATTCTCTCCAGAATGATTCCATTGAAGACCTTACCAGGTATTGAGAGAATGTGACCTCTCTGTAGTTGCTGCTGTCGCTGAGATTCCCGTTTTTTAAAGCTTCACGAGGTGTCCTTCTTTCCAAGCCTTTGGGAACTTGCTTTCATTTCAGATCCTGGTAAACAGTTGAAGGAGGAAGTCTGCCGTCACATTGGCATCTGCTTTTAGGGCCTCAGGTGGAATCTGATCAGGACCGGCGGCTTTACCTGTGATCATCTTCTTAATGACATCCAGAATCGCTTGTTTTGAAGGAGCATCACAGCAGATTGGTAACTCATTTCTTGCTGGCAGGATGTTTGACAGGTTACACGGAGACCTTTGAAATGCTCTACCCATCGTTTTTGTTGAGCTTCCTTTCCAAAAATGGTTTTCCCCTCTTGTTCCTTTACTGGTACTTCAGGTTTCCCATATTTTCCAACAAGAGTCTTTGTGGTCTGGTAAACCATTCGCATTTGCCTCCTACCGCTGCTTCCTCTGCCTTCTCTGCCTGCCTGTTCATGAATTCCTCCTTGTCTTTTCTTAGTGATTTTTGACATCCTTAGCTGTTGTCCTGTATTGCTAAAATGCATCCGCTCTTGATCCTTTTTTTTACTTGCATTCGCTTCTGCCTTCAGTTGTCTTCTAATAATAACTGAATCCAATGAATTTTAGCAAACGTATTCTTTGTGCTCCAATTTCTTTGCACGAGCTTGACATGTTGAAGTAAAGACTTCTTTGGCCTTGGTCCAGTGTATCTCCACCTCCATGTCCTCCCCGCCAAGATCAGCCAGAGGTTGAAATCTTTTACCCAGCTGTAGCTGAAAATCCTCTTTCTTGTGTCAGTCCAAGAGATTTACTTGGAACTTCGTTCTTTTTGTTCCTGTGCTGGTTGCGTGCTTTTTTAGTCGAAGCTTGAGTTTTAGTAACAGTAAATGATGATCCGATCCCACGTCTGCCCCTCTCAGTACTATGATATCTTCCAGTGAACGCCCGAACCTACGAGAGATACAAAAATGATCTATCTGGTTCTCCATCACTCCATCTGGCGATACCCTGGTAGCTTTGTGAATTCTCTTGTGAGGAAAAACAGAGCCTCCAGTAACAAAACTGTTGAAAGCACAGATGTTTGCAAGTCGCTCACGGTTTTCATTCATTTGTCCCAAGCCATATTGTCCCATAAATACCTCGTAACCTACGTTGTCCTGACCAATCTTGGCATTGTCATCTCCTATTATGGTGCTGACATTCTTCCTTGGTAGTTTGTCGATGATCCCCGTAGCCGTCTGTAAAAGGCATCCTTGTCTTCATCCGAAGCATCATTTGTTGGGGCGTAGATCTGGACTATATTCATGTTGATGCTCTTGCTCTCTGTAGTGAATGAAACCATTATGATGATCCTCTCCCCATGTGGTATCTATCCACTAGGTGACTTTTATGCATTCCCACTCCTTCCACATGGTGCTTGTCTTCCCTTCCAGAATACAATGATTAATCACCCCAAGCTGAACTGCTTCTGTCCAGACTGTATCCAGTGTGTTTCGCTGCCTCCTAGTATGTGCAGCATGTATCTCTTAATCTCTTGTGATACTTGAGAACTCTTTCCTGCTTCATACAAGGAGCAAACATTTCACGACGCAATCTGGAGAGACTTGTTTGACAGAGAAGGGTTCGGGTCAAGAGAATCCTTTCGACTTTGTCCGCTGTCCTTCATTGCTCCTGCTAGTGCAGAAGTTCTTCCGATCGAAAAATAAAAAGCCGTGTTCGTCCATGTTGCTGTAACTGACTGACACCCACATCTCTCTCTCTCTCTCTCTCTCTCTCTCTCTCTCTCTCTCTCTCTCTCTCT